GGGGGGCCTATCAAAGAGAGAGAGAGAGAGAGAGAGAGAGAGAGAGAGAGAGAGAGAGAGAGAGAGAGAGAGGCTGCATGGCAAATTGCGGCCGCGATCTATTTCGCAGTTGGAATGATTTTTTTTAATTTATTTAGTGTTTTCCTGGAAAGATCACTACAAAATCTATAAGTACTCCAATTTCAGGTATTTTCACGCATTCTTCTGAGAGTGAAACCTCACTGAATTTGGAGTACTTTTTAAGTTGGCCCACACACGGCTGAGTGGCAAAAATGGAAAATGTGTCGAATCGGCGCGACAATTATTTCTCAGTCTAAATGATTTTTTTAAAATGTTCTAATATTTTTCCTAGAAAGAACACGACCTCATATATGAATTCTCAAAATTTCAGATTTTTCGGCGGGTTCCTCCGAGCACAGAAAATCGCCAAAGGTGCCTCTTGCCAAACGTCTGTTTCGTTGCGCCTGACGTCCCTGTTTTGAGAAGACGAGCCTCAACGCCTGGGCCTGAGGGCCCTTACCCCATCCCCACTTCTTTTTGGGGTCCACTTCCACCCGAGGACCGGTCCTTTGTTTTTCCAAAAGTCCCGGTTCTACCAGAGCTAGCTGTAGGTAGTGCGCAATTTTGGCAAGGACCGGTTTCCCAATTTTTTTTGCCCCTAGGAACCCACTTTGGGTCCTGGTCGCCCGCCGCCAAAACTGCGACACCTTGACACAAACACCGAACCCAGTAGACCGCAGTTGGAATGATTTTTTAAAATTTATGTAGCGTTTTTCTTGGAAAGATCAAAACAAAATCTACGAGTTCTCCAATTTTCAAGTTTTTTCACACATTCTTCTGAGCGCGAAAACTCACTGAATTTGAAGTACTTTTTTAGTTGGCCCAAGCATGGTTGAGTGGCAAAAATGGAAAATGTGTTGAATTGGTGCGACGATTATTTCGCAGTCTAAATGATTTTTTGTAAATGTTCTATTATTATTTCTGGAAAGAACACAACCTCATCTATGGATTCTCAAAATTTCAGATTTTTGTGCATGTTCGTCTGAGCACATAAAATCGCCAAAGTTGCCTCTTGCAAAACGCCTGTTTCGTTGTGCCTGACCTCCCTGTTTTGAGAAGACGGGGCTCAATGCCTGGGCCTGAGGGTCCTTTTGCAGTTCACATGCCCTCACTTCTTTTTGGGGTCCGCTTCTACCCGAGGACCGGTCCAATGCCCCCCACTTCTTTTTGGGGTCCACTTCTACTCGAGGACCGGTCCTTCGTTTTTCCAAAATTCCCGGTTCTACCAGAGCTAGCTGTAGGTAGTCCGCAATTTTGGCAAGGACCGGTCCCCCAAATGTTTTTGCCCCCTAAGAACCCACTTTGCGTCCTGGTCGCCCGCCGCCAAAAATGCGACACCTTGACACAGACGCCGAAGCCCACTATACCGCAGCCTAAGGGCTGCGAATTTCGAAGGGAAAAAATAAAATAAAAAAAATTGAGTGCCTGAAGAGGGGCCAAGGATTCCCTCGGCTTGGGGCGGGCGAGAGCGAGCCTGTCCCTAGAAAATACGTGTTTGGAAGTGCAGGCTGTGAACGCGGTGGACATGGTTAATGATTATACAGTTGTCGTGACTGTCAGGGCCAGATCCCACTGGCAAAGAGGATTGGAATAAGCCTCTGAATCTGGACGTGTTTTTGGAGAGGTGCAAACAGTTGTGATTGAACTGCTTTTCTGCATCTCTGTGTGGAGCACGTCCAGATTCAGCCACTTCAATCCTCGTTGCCAGTGGGATTTGGCCCTTAGTCGTGCACGGGGACATTCCAGGGTCGAGGGGATGGGCGTGTCCAGTGAAGACGGGCGACTTTTGCCGTGGAGGTCTGAGGGCATGGCCACACCACTCTCGAAATGTGCAAAATGGGCATATGACCTTACCGCTAGAATATGACCAGATGCACTCGCCACATTTTTATCTTTTTCACATTTCGAGAGTGGTGTGGCGAGGCCCTGAATGATGCGATGGTTGAGCAGGGAATGGTAGGGCTCTGACCGTTTTTATGATGTCTAAATTTCACAGCCCCGATATTTTATTCCACGTATTTAGTGTCTCTCAACGTCACACTGGCTAGGAAACCGAACCGATTCGCTGGCAGTGGGACTTTCCCCGCTTGAAAAATAAATTGTCTACCGCGTGGGCGTAGCCAAAGCAATGAGACGAAGAGTGCGCACGAGAGAGAGAGAGAGAGAGAGAGAGAGAGAGAGAGAGAGAGAGAGAGAGAGAGAGAGAGAGAGAGAGAGAGAGAGAGAGAGAG